CAGTGAAACAGAGGCCCAGGTGCCACCCCTCCAGGGACCTAGAATCCCTCACCAAGCTGCACGTGTGCATGTGAAGGGGAGAAGGGTCTCACCCGGCACTGGTAGGGCCGCTCCCCGGTGTGCACCAGGTGGTGCTTCTGCAGGTGGGCCAGCTGGGTGAAGCTCTTCTGGCACAGGGCACACTGAAATGGACGCTCCCCACTGTGGACACGCAGGTGGACCTGGAAGAAATATTGCCAGGTACCTAGAATGTCTGACAGGGCCCAGAGTTCACTCCAAATCTCCACCCACACCCTCTGTAGGGTTCGTTGCTGGCATCCAGGACTCTCCATCACCTACCTTTGACACTATCAATACCCAGAACACTCTCATTATTTTGGTCTGCCCTGTAGCGGAGATTCAGGAAGACAAATAAGGGGTTCCCCAGGTGTCCCCTAGAATAGCTATTTAAAGTACAACTCACAGACCAGCAGCATCAGTATGACCTTGGGAACATGCTAAAGATACAATGTCTATGGGCTGGAGAGATGGCTCAGTGGTTAGGAGCACTGGCTGCTCTTCCAGAGGACCTGGGTTCAATTCCCAGCACCCACATGCAGCTCACAACTATTTGTAACTCCAGTTCCAAGGGATCTGACACCCACAGCAAAATGCCAATACACATAAAATAAACAAATTCTTAAAAATGCAGACTCTTGGGCTGACCCCTGGACCAGCTAAGTCATCATCTCTGTGGCTGGAGCCTGGGAATCTACAGGTTTGCCCGCTGTCTGAGTGGTTTGAGGTTAAGGGTTAAGCATCCCTTCCTCAGAGGATCCAGTAGAGCCATTTCCCTGGTAACTGTAACCTGCACACAGCTTGTGGTCTTGGCTAACAGTGAGGGGCCCCTGTTGGATGATCTGTAGGTGACACCTACAGCACCTGGCCTGATTTGTGGGATCCCACTTGAAAACGTTGTTAGTAAGACTGTGGTCTCGTGTCACCAAAACCTACCCATTCCCCCTTTTTGATCTTCAAAAGCAAGAAGGAAGCTTGGCTGGGGACCCAGATAGGATACTGTCTGGGAAAGAGCTTGCTGGTTGATGCCAAGAAACTGAAATTCAAACTCAAACCCGCTAATGTGGTTACCTTGGGATCCTGCCTATTAGGGGCCTCAATTTCCCCATTTTTAACTTAAAGAAAGTGATCTCACAATCTTTTAGGATGGAGGAGACTTAATGTGCACACACCCACACTTTATTTTTTGAGACAGGGCTTTCCTGTGTAACCCTGGTTGGCCTGGAAGTGGATATATAGACCAAGCTGGCCTCAAACCCACTGAGATCTACTTGCCATGGCCTCCCAGGTGCTGGGATCAAAAGCCACCACACCTGGCTTTTATTTTTATTTTTTATTTTTAGATGGTGTGGAAGTCTGAATGAAAATGGCCCCATAGAGCCTGGCAGTGTGGTGCACACCTTTAATCTCAAAACTCAGGAGGCAGAGTTGGGCAGATCTCTGAGTTCAAGGCCAGCCTAGTCTACAGAGCAAGTTCCAGGACAGCCAGACCTATACCAGGAAACTCTGTCTCAAAAAAAAAAAAAAAGAAAAAAGAAAGAAAATAGCCACATAGACTCATGGAGAATGGTACTATTAGGAGGTGTGGCTTTGTTGGAGAAAGTGGGTTATTGGGAGGGGCTTGCAAGTCTCAGAAGCTCAAGCCTGGCCAGTGAGTCTCTGTCTCTTCCTGCTGCCAGAGGATCCAGTTATAGAACTTTTGGCTACCTCTCCAGCACCATGTCTGCCTGCATCCTGCCATGCTTGCCCTTAATGGACTAATCCACTGAACTGTGGGCAAGCCCAGCCCAGTTAAATGTTTTCCTTTGTAAGAGTTGCCAGTGCTCATGTTGTCTTGCTGTATCTTCACAGCAATGGAACCCTAATTAAGACCGGTGGAGTCGCCAGGCCTTGGTGGCGCACCCCTTTAATCCTAGCACTCGGGAGGCAGAGGCAGACGGATCTCTGTGAGTTCGAGGCCAGCCTGGTCTCCAGAGCGAGTGCCAGGATAGGCTCCAAAACTACACAGAGAAACCCTGTCTCGAAAAACAAAAAACAAAAAACAACAACAACAACAAAAAGACAGGTGGAGTCTCATTATATTGCCCAAACTGGCCTTGAACTTCTGCTATCTCCCCTGCCTCAGTCTTCTGAATGCTAGAAAGAAAGTGTGCTCCACCAAACCCAGACGGTGGTCAGCTTATCCTGTTACCCCCCCCCGCCCCGCCCGGAAGCAAGGGAAAAGGCAAAAGAGTCATTAAAGGGTGAAGGGGACAGCAGGACCCCGGAAGCTGATACCTTGAGATTGGAGAGCTGCCCAAAGTTCTTGCCACACTCATTGCACTCATATAGGATTTTACCATTCTTTTTCTTCAGAGGGTAGGGCAGAGTAACGACACCGGCCTGGGAGCCTGGCTGCTTTGCAGGCGCTGCCACACCAGCCTGTCCTGGGGAGAGGGTTGAGGCATCTCTGACCTGGGAGCATAGGGTGTGTCTAGCACTCTGGAAAGCCCCCGAGGAGAAAAGCAGGGGCTTCTCCTGGGTGATCTGGGGCCCAGCTCTATTGATTGTCATAAGCAAGCTGGGTGGGGCCACAATGGGGTATGAGGGGTCTGGGGGCAGCGTGAAGAGGTGCGGACATTGGGCAGAAGATAGGGCCGCGTAAGTGAATAGGTAAGAGGGAGGCAGGAGCAGTGGGTACCCAGGGAAGACTGGGTAGGTGTGGATAGGGAGTTCCTTGGAGATGACAGTGGGAGGAAGCCAGGGCCAGAAGGTCGAGGGACTAGGGCTCTCTCTGTCCATCCTGAAGTCCTGGGAGGAGCTGGTGTGAGGAGGGAAGGATAGGCAGGAGCCTCTTTCCATCTGGTTTGCCATCTCATCTCTGTTCGGTGAGTTCCTGGCTGTGAGTTTCTCACTGTCCATAGAATCTTCGTGCAGGCCTGGTGTCTGGAGCTCTAAACCAGAAAGGAAAGGTGATTAGGCCCGGGACAGTCTAGACTGAACATCTGTTCTCTCTTAAGCCTGCCCAACTCAGAGTTGGGAAAGAACCTGCAAGATGGTGAGGCAACTTGAGCTGGGCACTTCCCTCTAGGACTCAGTTTCCCCACTGCTACTAAGCCTGAAATAAAAGCTTCCAGGGTGCAGAGAGCACCTGAAAATTTCAGGGAGAAAAAAACTGTATAAACAGCCCAGTAGACATCAGGGAAAGGGGTCACATGTATAGCCCAAGAGACATCACAGAGAGGAGTCAAGGGCACAGCTTACCACACGGGGAGGAGAGGTCAAGTGTGCAGATAGGCAAGCTGAAATTTAAGGGAAAGGTCCCAGATTAAATACAGAACATTGGGTGCTATGGAGGGAGCTGATTATCTGCTTGGACCCCCATTTATTTCCTCAATCAAAAATTCTTTTTTGAGAAGACTGGAGAGATGGCTCAGTGGTTCAGAGCACTGACTGCTCTTCCAGAGGACCCAGGTTCAATTCCCAGCACCCATAGGGCAGCTCACAGCTATCTGTAACTCCAGATCCAGAGCATCTGATACCTTCACACCAATGAAGACATAAAAGAGACATAAAAATTATTTTTGAAACAAGATCTTTCTATTATGTAGCCCTGGCTATCCTGGGACTGGCTGTGTAGATGAGGCTGACCTCGAAACCAGAGATCCACCTGCCACTACCTCCTGAGTGCTGGGATTCAAGGAGTGTGCCACCAAACCTGGCTCCCTCAGTCAGTTTTAAGGTGCTGTTTCACTCTGTTCTGTGCTAGAGTCCTGCTGGGGTCCCCCAAATAAAAGATAGAGCAGGTCAGTTCCTGTCCTCTAGGAGGCCTCAGTGTATTCCAATACAACAAAGCTAGAGCAGCTCCAAAAGAGACCCTGCCTCCATAGACAAGCAGAGCGTGTGGATATGCCTCAAGTTGGGGAACTAGAAAAGATAGAGGTAGGACTCAAAGCCCAGTTGTGATCCCCAGTCCAGAGCTCCTGTCATCTATCGTTTTGTTTTGTTTTGTTTTTCGAGACAGGGTTTCTCTGTGTAGCTCTGTAGACCAGGCTGCCCTCAAACTCACAGAGATCCTCCTGCCTCTGACACCCGAGTGCTGGGACTAACGGTGTGAGCCATCACACCTATCTGAGCTATCTGTCTCAGGCAAGGACAGCAGGATCACTGAAGCTTGCTGGCCAGCCTACCTCCAGGTTCAGGGAGAGACCCTGTCTCGGGGGACTAAGGCAGAGACTGAGACAGTAGAACTGTGGACTTCCTCCTCTGACCTCTACATGGGTATGTGTCCAACAGTTACATACACACACCACACACATATGCACACACAAAGATTAATTGGCCAAAATAAACATTTCTACTAAAAAAAAAAAGTAGACAATGAATTGGCTCGATGGATGAGGCACTTGTTACCCAGCCTGACAACAGGAGTTTGACTTCCAGGATCCATGCGGTAGAAGGAGAAAGCTGACTTCTGGAAGCTGTCCTCTGACCTTCATGTCCATGTCCATACTCATAACTAACTAACTAAATGCCAAATGAAAGCCTGCTCTAGTTCAAACATTCTAGGCCAACAGCGTTACCCCCACCTTGATGATCGGTTACACCGGCTGCTATGCTGTTGTCTTGAAAGGTCACACCAGAACCCCAACATTAAATGAGATAAGAAAGTATGCCTGGGGCTCTATACTCATTAGTGACACACGGATCTCAGTCCCTTCCCCATGCCAAAACCTGTGACCCTTTCAACCCACTAACAAAGCTCTCAGGTCCAGCCAGCCCCAGGCCCCAGACTCACTCATGTTTGAGGCATCCTCTCTGAGACCCTGTGGGGTCATGCCCAGGAATGTCTTCTGCAGGGCACAAGGGTCTGAGCCTTGTGGGTAGGCCAGCCAGGAAGATTTAGCTGGTGCCACAGGCAAGGGGCACATCCAGTTGGCCCAGGACAGGTCATGAGTGTCCATTGTGTTTGGAAGTGGCTCAGAAGTGTTGGCTGAGGAGACCCAGGAAGCAGGGAAAAGGCCTGAGGGTCCAGGACTGGCTGTCTCTGGCATAGGTTCGCCTCTAGTTTGGTTTGTAAAGGTAAGGAGCTAAGCTATGGACACCCACTCACCATATCTTTCATTCAAATGGCTCCCCTTCCCTCCTACAACTGTTTCTTTCTCCAAGGGCTTTTTTGATTGACCCTAGACTATCAGCTTGCCCTATACAGCTTGCCCCATTCTCCCTCCACACCCAACTTCTGATCGCCCTGGTGTTATCGTTGTGTTGTTCTGAATAGACCCAAAGTAAACTTGGGGGAAAATCCTCATCCAAGACTGCAAAGGCCACAGGATGCTTCTGAGCCCCCGCTAAAGTCCAAAGCCATGGTCATCCACACATTCTGTGTGGCCTTTCCCTCTTCTTACTTAAAGGACAATCTGAGCCCCTAAATCATATACACAGGGCCTCTGGCACTTCTGCTTAGCCTATTCAGGCATTCCACCCTTCCTTTTAATTGGGCAGACATTTTCAGAGAGAAGGGAATGTCCCACCCTGCCTGGTCATCTTGATAGAGCTGGAAGCCCAGGCTAGGGGATAGGGGGTGTCCTGATCCACTCCGAGCCTTTGTATTGTGGTAACAACCCAACTGGACAGCTGGTGCTCCCTTCATGTTCCCACTACCAGATGGGCCATAGGAGAATCAAAGTGAGCTGTAAAGGCTGGGTTCCAGCACTGGCACACTCACTGTGAGGAGAGGCTGGAAGCAGGTTGCTTTCTTCCTGGCCTCAGTGTCTCTATATGAAAAATGGAGGGCTAAGGACTGGAGATGGAGCTAGTTGGTAGAGTGCACACCTCAAGTGTGTGAGGCTTTGGGTTCAATCTCCAGCAGCACATAAACTGTAATTCCAGCACTCGGGAGGTAGAGGAGGGAGGAACTGTCAGGTCATCTGTGGCTATACAGGGAGGTCAAGGTTATGTGAGACCTTGTCTCAAAATAAAAGTAAATAGAAATGGATATGGTCCTAGCTAATGTGGTCACTGTCTTAGTCCTGCCATGTAGAAGCCAATGACACTTCCATGGAAGGTGTAGGAAGGATATTAAAAGAAGAACAAAGCCCTATGGGGGCTCTGAGGGAACATTCTAGATTCCTTGAGACCATCGAGAATTGGGGAGCCTGCCTTTTCCATAGAGAATGGGACCATAGCAACCAGAGGCTCCCACCATCAGGCTCACCCAGGTAGCTTTTCTGGGAAACATCAGGGTCTTATGAACCTTGCTGTTCCAGGGTCAACTCCCTCAGCAGTGGTGAATTCCTAGAAAGGGAGAGGCCCCAGGTACCACCTGCCTAGCCTAAGGAGAAGATGCCTTAGTGTTCAGCCAGCTGCCAGTCAGCACCCTGCTGCTCTTCTGTCTTCATTTGAGGCCACACAATGCATAGATCAACTTAGCGAGGCAACTGCCACCTCACCCCTCCCGTCCTAAGTGGGTTCAAATGCCCCTCAGACTCTAAAATCCTCGACCCAGTGGCTCAGCAGTCCCCCACCCCCGCCCAGCACCCTGCTCTTTCCCTCTCCCCAGCCCTGCCTCAGGTCTCAAATACCGTGGCCTGGAAGGCACCAGCTGGCCATATGGGCTCTTCACCTGGTTCTGCAGCAGCTGTCTCTGGCTGGAAAGGATGGAGGTTGGGCAGACGGGCAGCAGTGCCTGCATCTGAGGCCCCTGGGGGGGTGAGAGATGACAGGAAGATGCAACACGTTTGAAGTTGCCTTAAATGGGCTTCCAGGAAAGAAAGAGAGGGGTTCAGAGGAGGCTGCCAAGGCCCTTTTGCTCCTAAGGCATAATCTTCTTGTTTGGATTTTTTTCTCTTTTTGAAACAGAGTCTCAGCCAGGCAGTGGTGGCACAGTGACCTTTAATCACAGCCTCGGGAGACAGAGGCAGGCAGATCCCTGAGTTTGAGGCCAGCCTGGTCTACAGAGCAAATCTTTAATCCCAGCACTCAGGAGGCAGAGGCAGGTGGATCTCTGTGAATTCAAGGTCAGCTTGGTCTACAAAGCGAATTCCAGGACAGCCTCCAAAGACACAGAGAAACCAAACCCTGTCTCAAAGAACAAACAAACAAAAAAGTTTTTATATTATTTTATGTGTATGGTATTCTACCCACACGAATGCCTGTGCACCATATGTGTGCAGTGTTCGTGGAAAGTCAGACGAAGGAATCAGATGTCATGTAGGTGTGGGAATTGAACTCAGGACCTCTGGAAGAGCATCCAGTGCACTTAACCTCTGAGCCGTCTCTCCAGCCCCAACCATTACCACCCCCTTCTTTTTCTTGCCTTTTTTGTTTTTGGTTTGGTTTGGTTTTTCAAGACAGGATTTCTTTGTGTAGCCCTGGCTGTCCTAGAACTCTGTCCTCAAACTCACAGAGATTTGCCTGCCTCTGCCCCCAGAGTTCTGAGATTAAAGGCGTGTGCCACCACGGCCCTGCCTTTTTCTTGTTTATTGTGCAACAAAGCTTTTATTAACATTTTAAACAAAGACCCCAACTATTATTGCTGAAACTTGCAATTTCTAAATGTAAATTAGGGCAAATGAACCAGTAAAGAGATGAATAGACATTAAGTTTGTTATTTTGGGGGTTTGTTTAGACTTATTTTTACTATTTTTAACTGTGTGTGTATGTGTGCAGGTATGTGCATACCTGCAGGTGAGCACAGGTCCCTGAGGAGAGCATGGGCATCACCACTGGAACTGGATTGATAGCTGGTTGTGAGGCACCCAACATGGTCACTGAGAGCAGCTCGTGCTCTTAACCCTTGGGCCATCTCTCCAGCCCCTAAACTTTGATTTTAAGCTGTGTGTGTGTGATTATAAGATGCGCGTTGTCTGCTCTCTTTCTCTCTCCAGCACTGTTACTGTGCCTCTCTTGGTTCGTGCTGTGCCCCTGCACGCTTGCCTCCTACTCTTTCCTGACTAGGTAGTGTGCCTTTGCAGAGGTGTGTGTGCTGCCTGGATGGTGTTCCCTATTGGTGGGCACAGAGATAAAGCTGGAAGAGCCCCCAGAGTCAACATGCAGAGTTGTTAATCCAGCTCTGCTACACTCCCTCCACCGTAAATCCCCTGATCTCTCTTGATTCTTCATCTGTCAATCTCCACCTCATGGAGCTTTGTCCAAAATTCCTCAAAATAATCAGTGTAAAGCCTTTAGGATGGGCCTGGCCCACAGCAAGCACTTGGAACAAGAGAGTCGCTATTAGTGTTTTACATCATCACCCTTTGTCTTGTCAGGCAGTGGCCTAAGACAGCTTCCCAGCAGGCTTCAGTGGGCAGGGCCGCATGCACTTGGGTAGACTGAGTTCTGTTTATGGCTTTGCTCATTAACCCCCTTCCTGGCTAGGGATCGCTGCCCTCACGCAATGCAGTCTGCCCCAGTTCAGTCTGCACTGCGCTGGCGCTGCCCCTCACAGCACGGCAGTCCTCACCGTGTGCCAGCCACTGGGTAGGACAGTTCTACAGGTTTTGTCTCATCCCATCAGCACCATGACCCTTCAAGATGGATGCCGTTGTTCCCATCTGACAGGGTAGAAAACTGACGTTCACCAAGAGAAAGAGATTCACTCAACGTCACAGAACTCCAAATTTGAAGACAGAACAAAGGGTAGGAAGGAGTCTGTTGACTGTTGTTGCTGTTATTATTATTATTATTATTATTTTGGTTTTGGTTTTTCAAGACAGGGTTTCTCTGTGTAATAGCTCTGGCTGTCCTGGAACTCACTCTGGAGACCAAGCTGGCCTCGAACTCACAGAGATCCACCTGCCTCTGCCTTTGGAGTGCTGGGATTAAAGGCATGTGCTTTTGCAGGAGTTGGAGGTAAGCCAAGGGGTCAAAGATGTAGTTATACCTAGATAAGGAATTAGAAGGGTGGTTAAGAATATTGGAGAGAGCAGGGCTAAGTGGTATGATCCAGAAGCTGAGGCAGGAGGATCATAAGTTCTAGGCCAGCCTTGGAATTCTAAATGAAAAAAGAAGCGGTGTGTGTGTGGGGGGGGGGCGCTAAGGAGGGAGGGAGAGGCTGGAGAGATGTCTGAGCAGTTAGGAGTATTTGGTGCTCTGGCAGAAGACCAGACAGAGTTCTGGTACCCACAACCAACAGCTGGAGATCCCCGAAACTCCACCTCCAAGCGATCCAACTCCCTCTTCTGGCCTCAGAAGGGCCTGCACACATGGACACAGACACAGACATGTAAACTCAACAAAATCCTTCCTGGGCCCGATGGTGCGTGCCTTTAATCCCAGCACATAGGAGGTAGAAGCAGGCAGATCTCTGTGAGCTCGAGGCCAGCCTGGTCTCCATGGTGAGTTCCAGGACAGCCAGGACCACATATGACTTTGACCAAGGGATCGAAAAAGGAACCTACCATTTACTCATTCACATATTTTGAGATAGGGACTCATGGAGCCTAGCTGTCCCTCCAGTTCTCTGTTAGTCCAGGGTGACCTTGAATTCCTGATCCTCCTGCCTCTGAGTCCCAACTACTGGGATTACAGGCACCTGTCGCTAGGTCTGGTTTTCTGTGGTGCCGTGGACCTAACCCAGGACTTCGTTCATACTAGGCAAGCACTCTGCTAACCTAGCTATAGCCCCAGCCCTCACTCACATTCTTCTTGATTGCCAATGAGGTATCAGGCATTGAACAACTTCCTGGAACTATCTCGCACAGGAATATGGCCCAGATCTTGGAGTCTACAGACTCGATAACAGAGGGCTTGCTTGGTGCCAGGGAATCAAGATTGGTGCAAACATCAGCACATAACAGCTGAGCAAAGCACAGCAAAAAGGGATAGAAAGGCACTGCAGGAAAACCCCCCACTTCCTCCCCAAAGCCCATTGTCCTGCAACCACTGACACCTCCAGGACTGAGGCTAAGTAGCCTAGTGCCAGCTGGCTCTGCAAATGGCTCCAGGAGCTTTGTCTGAGCAG